CAAACCAAATTCGGCTCAATTAAATTGTTGAATCTAGGTGGTAGGTAAAGAATGCTCATGCACTATTATTTCAACTTATTAGTAAATTTGAAACTTTCTATAATAATAAGTCAAAAGGAAAGACGGGTGCAGTGGCACACGCCAAGCTGCAGCTACTCAGGAGGCTAAGGCAGGAGGATCACGTGAGCCCAGGAGTTAGAATCCAACCTGGGCAACAGAGCGAGACCCTGACTCTAAAAAGCAAAAAGAAGCCAGGCAAGGTGGCTCATGGCCGTAATCCCAGAACTTTGCGAGGCCGAGGCGGGTGGATCACGAGGTCAGGAGTTCGAGACCAGCCTGGCCAAGATGGTGAAACCCCGTCTCTACTCAAAATACAAAAATTAGCCAGGCAGGGTAGTGCATGCCTGTAATCCCAGCTACTCAAGAGGCTGAGGCAGGAGAATCACTTAAACCTGGAAGGCGGAGGTTGCAGCAAGCCAAGATTGAGCCACTGCATTCTAGCCTGGGCGACAGAGCAAGACTCCGTCTCAAAAAAAAAAAGCGAAAAGAAGGGCCGGGCATGCTGGTTCATACCTGTAATCCCAGTACTTTGGGAGGCCAAGGTGGGCGTATCATTTGAGGTCAGGAGTTCAAGACCAGCCTGGCCAACATGGCGAAACCCCATCTCTACTAAAAATACAAAAAAATTCACTGGGCAGGGTAGCTCACGCCTGTAATCTCAGCTACTACGGAGGCTGAGGCAGGAGAATCACTTGAACCCGGGAGACAGAGGTTGCAGTGAGCCAATATCACGCCACCCCACTCCAGCCTGGGCAACAGAGTGAGACTTAGTCCAAAAAAAAAAAAGTAAAAAGAAAGAAAAGTATAAATGACCCCTGACTGTAATCTAGTCTGCCATCCCCATCTCAACATAGAGCCTCGTGTGGAAAGAAAAAGACATTTAGAGCACTCAGAGGCGTGTTCAAATTTTGTGTTGTTCATTTCTTGTTCAATATTTTGAGCACGTTTTTTCATGAAGAAGGAGGGCCCATCTTTCCTTTGCTGTGTGTCGTCAGTGGCCCACAACACCTGGTACATTATTATTACCAACAATGCACATTATTAGCACAAACACTGTAGCTCTTCAAGAACTTTTCAATACAATAAACACTGAGTATTGGGTGTTGTGCTAAGAACCACGTGTGTGGTCCTTGAAGTGAAAAGGATGCTGTTGACTCATCTTTGGCCCAGACTGCACTGTGAGCTGCATTCCAGATATGATGATGAATTCATTCATATATTAAACACACACTTACTGAACAAGGCATTGTACAAAGATAGAGAAATATGGCAGCACACCTATTCTTAGGGTTTATAAACTCCCTGGTGAGATGCAACATACAAGGAGGTAACTCTGTTACCAGATAAGTAGGAATGAGTGAGGTACAAAACGCTATAGGAGACAGGATCTCCCCTAATTCATTCATTTGGCTACCACTATAAGATAACAACCTGAGGTCATAGGTATGGATTGTGGCCATGGTATGAAGCTACAGGAAGCAGCCCACTGGCCCATGACCCATATGTCAGTGACACGGTCCCCAACTGGCGATTCTGTAAAATCTCAAAAGGATATACCAGATATCACCAGCACAGTGGCAATCTGTGTACATTCTGGGGGGAGAGGGAAAGCAACATTACCTTATTCACTCTGGCAGCCCTTCACAGCATCACACCCATCAAGAGGATATTAAAGTCATATTTGTTGAACTAAATTGAATTGACCTCTTATCTCTTTGAATTAGGTTCAGAAGAGATTCCCATAACGCTAACAGCTTATCTAACATGCGGATAGGATACAAAGGAGAGAGGGGACAGTGATATGCTGATTTCCTTCTGAACACAGGCCAAGTGGTAATCAAGTCAACTAGGGTAGAGAGGGGCTGGATCCCCAACCTTCTCCATTTAAAAGCTTGATAGGCCAAGGACGGTAGCTCACGCCTGTTATCCCAGCACTTTGGGAGGCTGAGGCAGTTGGATCACTTGAGGTCAGGAGTTCAAGACCAGCCTGGCCAACATGAAGAAACCCGTCTCTATTTAAAATACAAAAAATTAGCTGGGCATAGTGGCGTGCACCTATCATCCCAGCTACTTGGGAGGCTGAGGCAGGAGAATTGCTTGAACCCAGGAGCTTTTGGTGAGCCAAGATCGTGCCACTGCACTTTAGTCTGGGCGACAGAGTGAGACTCTGTCTCAAAAAAAAAAAAAAACAAGCTTGATGTTTCTGAATAAGAGCTTATGACGACTGCGAGGTGATGCCTCTAAGGCAATGGTTCTCAAAAAACATTGCCAGGGGTTATTTTTCTCAATTTGGCAGTGTCTGGAGATACTGTCACACTGGGAAAGGGGAACGTGCTCCTGGCATCCAGTGAGAGGAGCCCAGGGACGCTGAAAAGTATCCTACAATGCACAGGACAGTCCTCCACAACAAAGAATTATCCAGCTCAACATGTCAGCAGTGCCACTGTTGACAAACCCTGAGTTTGGGGGAGTGTGTTTCAGTCAACTCCCAGACCAGTCTGCATTCTTAATTACCTTAAAAATGAATGCTCTGAACATTGGGGGGTTTCAGTAACAGACGGCAGACAACTCCATGCAAACCCTGCACTGAGATTCTAAAAGTCCCAACAAGGGACTTTTAGTACAAATCCCTTTTAGGTATAAAGAGTAGCACAGTAATCATGAAACAAACACGTAGCAGAATCAAGGTGAAAAGAACTCCTACTCTTCATCTGGAACAGTGCTAGCCAATGAAATACAATGTCAGTCATGACTGCAAGCCTTGTATATCATTTATAAATTCTGTTGGCTGCATAAAGTAAAAGGAAGCAGGTGAAATTAAGTTGAATAATAGATTTCATTGAATGCAATATATCCCAAATACTATCATTTTAATATATAATTAACATAAAAATTGTTTTAATTTTATATATATTTTTTCTTTTCGAGGCAGGGTTTCGCTCTGTCATCCAGGCTGGAGTGTCGTAGTGTGATCACGGCTACTGCAGCCTCAACCACCTGAGCTCAATCAATCCTCCAACCTCAGCCTCCCAAGTAGCTGGGACTAAAGGTGTACACCACCACACTCAACTCATTTTTGTATTTTTTGTGGAGACGAAATTTTGCCATGTTACCCAGGCTGGTCTCAAACTCCTAGGCTCAAGCGATCCACCCGCCCTGGCCTCATAAAGTGCGGGGATTACAGGTGTGACCCATTTTATTTATTAAAAAATAAAATTTTATAAAAATTAAATAAAATTTATTTTATAAAATATATAAAATTTATATTTTATAGCCAATATAAAAATTATTAATAATATATTTTACATTTTTTTTCATACTAAGTCTTCAAAATCTAGTGTGTATTTTATAATTAGAGTACATCTCAATTTGGACCAGACACATTTCAAGCTCTCAATATCCACATGTGGTTGGTGGCTACTGTACAGGACAGCACAGATCTAGACCTGTGATAGGAATCACCAAAGGTTCTCATTAAAAAAGCAGAGTCTGAGCATTTTGCCCCAGTTTTGAGTCAGCATGTCTGGAATGGGAGCCAGGAATCCACATTTTGAGCATTTGCTCAGATGATTCTTATTTAGTTGTTCAACAGACCACATGCTGAGAAAGGATGATTTATTCTAGTCCATTGACTTGTTTGAAAGATAACATGTGCGTCTCAGTCTCTCATACTCTAGTCCAAAACCATGTTCCATAGCATTAGTTCAAAGAAACAAGAGATGTCATAACTATAGAAGATATAGGGGAAGGTTGTTTTTTGTTTTCCAAAGAAGGAATGGAGAATTCCTCCCACAAGAGAACCTTTCGGCTGGGCGCGGTGGCTCACGCCTGTAATCCCAGCACTTTGGGAGACCCAGGTAGGGTGAATCTCCTGAGCTCAGGAGCCCGAGACCAGCCTGTGCAACATGGAAAAACCATGTCTTATCAAAAATACAAAAAATTAGTCAGATGTGGTGGTGTGCACCTGTGGTCCCAGCTATTTGGGAGGCTGAGGTGGGAGGATCACTTGAGCCTGGGAGGTGGAGGTTGCAGTGAGCCAAGATTGCACCAATGCACTATAGCCTGGGTGACAGAGTGAGACCTCATCTCAAAAAAAAAAAAAAGAAAGAAAGAAAAAGAAGCTGGGCGCGGTGGCTCAAGCCTGTAATCCCAGCACTTTGGGAGGCCGAGACGGGCGGATCACGAGGTCAGGAGATCGAGACCATCCTGGCGAACACGGTGAAACCCCGTCTCTACTAAAAAATACAAAAAACTAGCCGGGCGAGGTGGCGGGCGCCTGTGGTCCCAGCTACTCGGGAGGCTGAGGCAGGAGAATGGCGGAAACCCGGGAGGCAGAGCTTGCAGTGAGCTGAGATCCGGCCACTGCACTCCAGCCCGGGCGACAGAGCGAGACTCCGTTTCAAAAAAAAAGAAAAAGAAAAGAAAAATTGTTTTTCCTAAAAAAAGAATCTTGCATAGTTTCTCATACAAATCCTGAGGAAAACATTTTTCTTCAGCTATTATTGGGCTATTTCTGCATGTATTTTCTGAAAATTTAAATCAATACACCTATGAGTAATGTTTTTCTGTTTTTAAGGAGTTTTACTTCCTCAATCATCTGCAAATGTTTTAGGGGAGACTCAGAGTACCATACACCGCACTCTCAAACAGGAAGTAACTACCTTGTGACTCAGAAAATGCCAGAGAACCAGACTCAAACTAGACCAGACTAATACGGTTCTTTCTGTTTTCATGCAGCAGGTTATATTATCTAAAGCAATAGTAAGACTGCTACTGTATCCTCACATCTGCTTATTGTTTTCTCATCTCCAATTTCAACTCAATAATAAACTCATACTAAGTGAATTTGCTTCCATAAGTATAAAACTGTCCTTCTCAAGGGCAACAAGCAAGGAGAATTATGCTAAAAATGGTATCTTAAGAGTCCTTTGTGGTCTCACCTGTATCCGTCATCGAGACCCTTTTGCTCACAAGGAAATGATTTTCGAGAGAAGGTCCATGTACATCTGATTTGTGGGTAGGCTTTAAACCTGACGGAAAAACAAAACTCTTCATATTGGTCAATTTCATAATCTTCACTGGAATTGGTAGCATTTATAAATCCCTTTTCTGTAAGAAAAAATAGGCATTTATGAGTTAGTTAATAATATTAATATGGAAACGTACTAAGAAGATAAAATAAACTTGTATTCATCAGTTTAACACAGGAAAACTCAGGTGTTGGCATGCTGCAGGTCAGGTTGGATAATCCAAGTGAAAACCCAGGAGTCCTATCCCTAGTTCTAAGCCTGAGCTCATCATCTTTCGAAGTTAAGAGATGTTTAAAAAAAGAAAGAAGGAAACAAAAAGAATGGGATGTAGATAATTGACTGTCTTCCCAGAGAAATGTATAAATAAACCTACAGATTTTGCAGACAATTTCCAAAGGTTGAAAGGAACCCCCACTCCCATGTACACACTAGGGGTCTCCTTACAGAGTCTGGAAGCCCCTGCTCTCAGCCAGCACCACTCTCTCGTTGATGAGAGAGAGAAAAATAAACTCAAGGCACAAATAAAAGAGCAATCTGGCTAGCAATATTCACGAGGTTGCCTTCTGGAACACTTCCTTATTAATCTGCTAAGAGCATCGCTGTGTTTCTTAGCATTTTCATTATGGCTGAACGCTGTACCCTAATCTGAGATTACTGAATTGTGGTTATTTTCAGATCCTACATACCCCACCAAAATTTCAGGGCATCTAAGGGCTTGTACTGTCTCTCAGTGCTCACTGCCCTAACAGTGAGGCTAGTTGGTTCTTAGAACTAGTATTTATATTCCATTTTGTGTCAGGCTCTGTGTCAGGTTCTGGAACTACAAGGATAGAATGAATTGTCCTTGTCCTTAGGAAACTTACAGTCTACTGGGGGATAAAAGCACACAAACAGATGGTCATATTACAAAGTGTTATGTGCAAACACAGTGGCATTCAAGTGGGCCTGGTTTCACGGGAAAAGGAAGACGGTGAGCAGATTATCTTTGCAAAGCTATTCTAACTCGGTTTCTTTCTTAGTGTTTGATAGTAGCATTATATTGAAATCCGAATTTGTACCGCATACCTCACATTCCACACTAAAGCAACTAAAAATAGGAATAAAGATTGTGTGAGCAGCCTGCATTACCTACGATGGTCACCAAAGCGGATTGACTGGGATGCTTTGAAGAGGAACAAGTGTAGTATCCCGTGTCGTTTCTTGCCACTGATGATACAAAAGCAAACAGAATCCGTATCATAGTTCTGTTTGTTGAATAGGTACTCATCTCAAAGTAGCTGCCCTAGGTTTTAATAAAACAGAGTTTGCATTTAATGTTTTCAATCCGGACTGTTAGTTAATTGTTCCTGCATTTTCAGAATACAAACTTGTCCTATTACCTCCTCGAGTGCCTTGTTTTCTAATTCCCAGGTGAGCCCGAATCCATGGTTCACATGAACAGCTTTGCACCTTATCCATAAGGGTTCCCCCACTTTAAGAAATAATTGTGGCAATGTGGTCTGAGGAGTTTGATTTAGATCTAGGAGATGAAAACATCCCAAGTGAGAAAAAAGAAAGTGATTATTGCCTCATCACAAAGGATATCCTGAACATTCTGAACAAAGACTTTAGCATCATCTCAAATATTACTAACCACATTAATCAAAGAAGCTTTTAGAGACTGACTCTTCTCTTTTATGAATAAATCAGCATTTACAGAATCCATAATATTGCATTTACTGGGGCCTAAAGGAACGACAGGATTTCTGAAGTTGAATGATCACCTATGCAGTTACTGTTAGTCCCTGATCGTTGCTAAGAAATAGTCACTGAAAATGAAAGTACGTGATATTATAGAGTTACCTATTGTGAACAGCCTGGTGCATTCCCTGCCCAGTTCATTTCTGGCACAGCACCTTATGTCCGTCCCAAATAATTCATGAAGCACTTTCTCCTCCTTTTTAACAACTGCTGGACTTTCTTCTTTACAACTGCAATTAGAAAATAAGTACCATTTGGTTAAACAAGTTTTAAAATTACAAATGAATGCTCAAGAGGAGAACAAAGTTCTAGAGCCATTTTTAAGGGTCAAATGGTAAGCAAAAGGTCAAAAGGTAAACAAGCCCAAATCTATGGTTTCAGCTAAGAGCTCATAAGGGAGCTGGCTAGTTACTCATTATCTCAATGGATTAGAATAACACTAAGGAGAATTACATAATAAAACAGTTTAAAATTGTTCATGTTTGGTGATCTCTTTGTTACTGTTGTTTAAAGACAGGGAAAGAAAGGAAAAAAATGAGAAAGAAGATCAAGGAAAAAAAGAGAAGAAAGAGAGAAGAGAAAAAGCATGATTGGGCTTTCACGAAGTTTAGCAAGGTAAGCATCCTTTTCTTCACAGCATTGAAGGGGACGCAGTAAGGGATGGGGAAGCTAAAGTCTCAAAGGTCACCCGAGTTCCCACAGGAACAGAGGAGGGCCAAGGTGTCACCTGCAAGGGAAATCAGCCAAGACTCCCAAGTATTCAACAGAACAAAACCCCTCTCCCTGCCTCAGCAGAAAGCGAACTTTTGTACCACTTTGGAACAAAGTATTTGGTACTTTTTCTCCTTCTATTTGGTCCCATTTAAAAAGAAAAAAAAAATTGTTTAGTAAATTTTAATTAGTTCAAACTGCATGAATTTTTACTTTGTGAGAACTTAGCTTTGGCATATATGAAAAACTACATAAACATTTATACCATACTTACTAACGGCTAGGCACTGTTCTATGTGCTTTACATATATCAATTCATTTACTCATCATAGCAATCTTATAAGTACTTGTTGTCATCCCCATTCTTCTGATGAGGCACAGAGAGGTTAAGTAACTTGTCCAAGGCCACACAGCTGCTAAACAAACTAGGGTTCAAACCCAGGCTATCTGGCTCTAGATTCTATATCTTTAAACAATCGTATTAGACTGCTTTTCCAGAACAAACAGGACAATCACAAATTGAACATTTAGTCACAAGGAATTTCTCTCTTTTTTTTTTTTTTGTTTTTGGAGATGGAGTCTCGCCTCTGTCACCAGATGGAGTGACAATGGGCCGGGATCTCGGGTCGCACTGCAACTCCGCGCTCCGCAGTTCAAGCGATTCTCCTTCCCTCAGCCTTTGAGTAGCGCTGGGCATTACAGAGCCCGCCACCAGCCTGGCTAATTTTGTATTTTTAGTAAAGGACGGAGTTTCCCCATGTTTGGTCAGGCTGGTCCTCGAACTCCAACCTCAGGTGATCTGCCTGCCCTTGGGCCTCCCAAGTGCCTCGGATTACAGGATAAGCCACCTAAACACAGTGCACGGCCTAGAAATTTCACTATTATCTTTCTTTTATTTTTTTTATATTTTTTTTTTGATGATTTGGGTCTTCGTTCTGTCGGACCTAGAGACTGGATCACAGAAGTGCAGGTGGTGCGATCTCAGCTCACTGCAAGGCTTCTAGCCTTTCCGGGTTCAGCCGATATCTCAACTGCCTCAGAAACAGGCACTCCTGAGTAAGCTAGGGCACTACAGGTGACACACCACCCACGGCATCAGGACTAATAGTTTTCGGACTTTCTATTTTTAGTAGAGATGGGGTTTCACCGTGTTAGCCAGGATGGTCTCGATCTCCTGACCTCGTGATCCTCCGGCCTCGGCCTCCCAAAGTGCTGGGATTACAGGCGTGAGCCACTGTGCCCGGCCTAGAATTTCATACTTATAAGAGAATTGTACTTTAAAATCAGTATCTTTCTTTTTGCCCCAACCAGATGCCCAGGGAGCCAACAATCCTGGAATGTAGAGGGACTTTTACTTGTGTACTATGATGCCCAGGAAGGGTCCTGCAGTTGATTTCAGGGGCTCCAAAAAGCCCCTTACCAAAAAAATCCTTGTCCTCCCTGTACACTGGCCATTCTGTATTATTTATTTATTTTATTTTATTTATTTACTTTTTTTTTTTGAGATGGAGTTTTGCTCTGGTTGCCCAGGCTGGAGTGCAATGGCGTGATCTTGGCTCACTGCAACCTCTGCCTCCCAGGTTCAAGAGATTCTCCTGCCTCAGCCTCCAGAGTAGCTGGTATTATAGGCGTCTGCCACCACACCTGGTTAATTTTTTGTATTTTTAGTAGAGATGGGGTTTCACCATGTTGGCCAGGCTGGTCTCAAATTCCTGACCTCAGGTGATCTTGGCCTCCCAAATGCTGGGATTACAGGCGTGAGCCACTTCACCCGGCCCTATACTGGTCATTTTTTAACTTTAAGAAGCCAGAGCTTCCTGTTTCAATGAGCATAAATTAAATTTTACATACAGCTTGATGTCAACTACATTAGAAAAAAGCCAAAAGGAAATTACGAGAATAGCGGCTACCACGGATGTGTCATACCTTTCCCCCTGTGACTCGCAAAGCACCCATTCCACGATCGGCTCTGGAACGCTCTCAGATATGCAGACCAGGGCGTCCTGGTTTTCCATTTTTCTAAAGTAAGGTCTTCTTAATGTGTAAAGCAGGGTATCTAAAGCATCATAAGTTATTAACATTTTACTATTTTAAAAATAATTATCTTAGCAGCCCCTCAAAAAAGGATTCTATGTCATTAAGTTCGTATTTTAAACCATAGCAGCGTCTTCTGCAGCCCCGCCAACCATGACATACACAGATGTTTTTCTTCTTTTAATACTAAAGGCATCAAAAGAAAACCAACCACTATGTTAAATTTAGCTCTGGCTGCAGTGTCAACTTTAACATTTATCCTCTTGGCCAATTTCTCTGGGTATTTCATAAATCCACAGCTAACTAAAGTAGTCGAGTGAAGCCATGTGAAAATACAAATATTGATAGGCACAGGAAAAAGGAAATTAGCAATAACATATGGCTTAAACCCTTGTTTAACGCAGAGTTTAGACCTCAACTTTCTTCCTATAATTTGATCTGCAACTAGTCAGAAATACACTAAGATTCAGAAAGCCAGAAGAAACATGGTAGGGTGGAGTTGGAATCGCAACAGAACTTAGAGGTTTAGTTGAGCCTCCCACTCCCCCTGGACCATCACACACACACACACACACACACACACACACACCCCCCATCCTTCACTCCCAGCTATTTCTAACATAAACTTTCTACTACTTTGACTCTTCTAGGGACTGGAGTTCATGATCTTCCAGGGCAGGTCATTCTAATTTCTGACAAACTTTTTTTTTTTTTAAGGAAAGTTTTCCTATACTGAATTCCAGCCTCTCTCCTTACAATAAATTTTGCTTGAAAATATTATGTATTCTTTTATATATATATATATATATATGAAAGAATATAGGGAGTGTAAATTTCAAAGCATAATAATAACAAATACCCATGGAGCCACTATCCACCTAATAACTAGAATATTAATAAATACCTTTTGATCTACTTTTGTGCTTCTCCCCATCTCTCAACTGTACATGGCCTTTATCCTGAATTTTGTTTATTATTCGGGGACTCTTCAAAGTAGTTATACCACATAAATATGTGGTGCTAAATGATATATTGATTTATTTCATTCTTGAGCTTCAAAATAGTGTTATCAATCAATATGCAGCTTCCACAACTTCATTTTTTCATCTAACCTTATGTTTTTAACATTCATCCATGGTTTTACATGTAGCTATACTTTATTCATTTTTTTTTTACTGCTACATCATATTCTATTGGTATATATATCATTGTTTTTTCATTTTCTTGCAGTAGACATACATTTGGGTTGTTTCCTTCTGTGTGTGTGTGTGAGACAGGGTCTCTGTCACCCAGGCTGGAGTGCAGTGGTGCAATCTCAGCTCACTATAGCCTCAACCTCCCAGGCTCAAGTGATCTTCCTGCCTCAGCCTCCCAAAGTGCTTGGATTAGAGGTATGAGCCACCACACCCGGCCATAGTTTTTTGTATGATCAACCATGTGCTCTGAACATTCCACACATTTGTACTGAGGCATGTGTATAACAGTTTCCTTAATAACATACCTAAGAGGGGAACTGCTGGTCTACATGGTATGAGCACATTCAGCCTTACACATAATGACCATTTGTTTTCCAAAGCAGTTATACTAATTTATGTTACACACCAGGAGATGAGAGCACCTATTGCTTTGTATACGTACCAAGACTTCTTAATTTTCAACAATCTAGCAGGTATAAAATGGTATTTCATTGTGGTCTTAATTTAATTTATCCATTATTAATTTAACATGTGTTAAAATAATTACTTGGAAGGCCATTAGGCTGAGACAGCTCTAATAGCTTGAGTTCCTATGTAAACAAATCAAAACCCAACTTAAAAAAAAAAAAAAAGGGAAAGAATGAAGGCCGGGCACGGTGGCTCATGCCTGTAATCCCAGCACTTAGGGAGGGTGAGGCGGGAGGATCGCTTAAGCCCAGGAGTTGGAGACCAGCCTAGGTAACATGCCGAAACCCTGTCTCTACAAAAACAACAACAAAAAGCAAAAAACAAACCCAATTCAATATGAGCAGCAAAATGCCACTTAGCTTCATCAATGAGGAACTGCAGACTGACCAAACGAGGGGCTGCCCTTCCTTAACCAATCAAATCTTTTCTTTGTCTTGCCTCCAGGAACACCTTCTAGAAAGAAGTCTTACCCTTGAATGCCCTGACAGGAGCCCACCTGCTTACCATCTGGCACTGCCCGATTCATGAATTGCTTTCTGCTCAAATATACTCTTTACAACTTTAACGTGCCTAAGTTTATCTTTTCACATGTTTCTTGACCATTTAGGTTTCATGTCCCAAAAATGAAATGCCTGCCCATGTCCTTTGTTCATTTCTCTACAGCTTTTCATTTTGCTTTGTTTTTCTTATTGACTTATTGACTTACATAGATTGTTTATCTTATTGACTTTACATATTATGACTATTAATCCTTTGTTGACTGTGAACTGCAAGTAACTTTTCCATCTTGTGGTGATTTTTACTTTTTCTCCCTGTAATTTCTTTTTTTTTTTTTTTTTTTTTGAGACGGTCTCGCTGTATCCCCCAGGCTAGAGTGTAGTGGCCGGATCTCACCTCACTGCAAGCTCCGCCTCCCGGGTTCAAGCAATTCTCCTGCCTCAGTCTACCCAGTAGCTGGGACTACAGGTGCCGCCACCTCGCCCAGCTAATTTTTTGTATTTTTAGTAGAGACGGGGTTTCACCGTGTTAGCCAGGATGGTCTCGATCTCTCCCTGTAATTTCTAACAACTGGTTCTTATCCTACCCACTAGAGCAACTTTTTAAAAGTCTAGCTTTGATTCCATATGAAAATCCTTCAAATATTTAAAATTAGAAACTGATATCAAGGGAGATAATTACCATACAAGGTACTTTAACTCGTTCGCTCAGGTTTCCTGACCCAAATCCTAAAAGAATTTCCTCTGTATTACACTGCAATCAACCTTATCGTGTCTGCAAAATATTTCCTTCTATACACTACACATTCCCAATTCCTTCAACTGCTCCTAATTTAAAGAATTCCAAATTTTCCACTATCCTGGTTGCCCCATTTTGTCAGTATTCATCTAAAAAAAAAAAGTAGAACTGAAATGAATAATCTTCCATTAATTTCCTTAATTTAGACGTTATATTTTCATGAACACTGCCAAGGTTCAAATTTACTTTTTTTGGCAACCATGCCCTGCTGGTGGTTAATACTGAGCTTGTGGTTGACTAAACCCTTTCCTCTTTTTCACACTGACTGTTGCCACGTCTCTCCCACCTATTTTTTGGACCCCACCACCTTGCAGAATGCTAAAAATAAGTTATAATTTGCTTGAATAATTGTTGTTACATTTTTACACTGTAAATCTTAAGTGAAAGGAATATACCCTGAGTATAACAGAGACACAGCAGATGCCCACTTACCTTATACAACTATTTATAGTTGGCAAGAAAATTTAAAAAGGAAAGAAAAAGAGAAAGAGGAAGAGAGGGAGAGCAAGAAATGTCCTCGCTTCATCCAACCTGGGGCATGTATTGACTGTCCCACAGAGGCGGTGAGGGACTAGAAAGGGGGCAGGGAACAAGACCAACACCAAAGAGCAACGAAAGGTGATTCTTGGCTTTGGAGCTTGTAGGGCTCTAGTCCTATCATTTTCAGAGTAATTAAAGGACTTTCCAGAACAAATTTTGAGTAATTTTGACTTTTGCTAAGTATACCTTACAGGCTGACTTTAGAACCTTACCCCACCCCCAACCCCAGTAAGATGACACTTCTGGGAATCTCGAGTGCTCTCTTCTGTTAGTAGCTTTGACAGCAAGACCCACGCACTTTCTTTCATACAAGACCCAGGGCAGTGTGGTGCAGAAAGCCTCCAGCTGTGCCCACCACCACGCCTCTCAGAGGGTTTGTCTTCTCATCTACATGCATACAGGATCGCTGCGAGCATCTGAGATGTTACAGGCAGAAGATCCTCAGCAAAGGGCAGTTGTGCTTATTCCTGACCCAGGGCACCTTTGTGGGCCGGACACACACGCTCTGTGCACTTGAGTCACTGACAAGGAAGAGGGCAGCCTGGCAAGTTGTGTCAATGTGTGGGAGGGAACCTAATTTTAAGTGATATTAACCCAGGGTTTTTGGAGCACTGCACTGGCCCCTAAAGGCACGAGGACCTGAATGAATGCAGTCACCTTTAGTCCTTCTTGGTCATGGAAGGTGAAGCAGCAAGTCAGTGCGCATAGCACTGAGTCTGTGCATGAAGGGGACGAAACAAGGAGAAGCCAGAAAGCACATGCAGGTGGTGCCTCTGCCAGCCGCACAGCTGCCTCCCTTGGTAAGACTATTTGGACTGTTCCTTACAGCTTGCATATGGTCTGGCATGCGTGTGGGCCTGAGCTGTCCAACACAGTAGCCCCTAGCTGCATGGGGCTATTTAAATTCCAATTTTAATGAATTAAAACTAAATAAAATGGAAACTTTAGTTCCTCAGTCACCTTAGCCACATTTCAAGTGTTCAACAGCCCCATGTGGCCAGTGGCTACTGTTTTGGAAAGAGCAGACAAAGATCATTTTCATCATCTCAGAAAGTTCTATTGGATCATGCTGAGACCTTCCAATCCTGTGAGGTATGTATTTTTATCCTCATTTCACCAACAAGGGAATTGGGGCTCAGAGAAATTGTGACCTGCCATAGGTGGTAGTATCAGAACCAGAATCAGAACCGAGGTCTTCTGATTCCAAGGTCAAAATGTTTCCCATTTCTTCCCTGTCAGCCATCTGCTACTGAACAGAGGATGTCCCAGGTGTTTTTAGCAGCAGTCACATTCTGAGAGTCCATGGCACACATCAGTGATTCATCAGTGATTCTCAGTTCTCTATAGGTTCTACAGAGGGTTGACGGGAATCTAATCAATCCAACGATGTATCGAGGGAAACATGAATATGTCTAGAGGAGCTGGTCAAGCTAACGGGTTCTAAATCACTCCTTTGAAATACTGTGGTATTCCAGACTGGAATGCTAGTAGCAGGCTGGACTTACTTCTTATACTCACTGTAAACAATATTGTGTAATTGGTAGCTTCACTCTGAATAAAAAGTAGGTATTCTCCAGCTTGGGTTTCTGTCATTTTCAAAATGACCATGGAAACAACTCCTCTGCAAAACAAGAAAGAGAACTAGTTATTTTGGAAAATGTGTGAAACTAAAAACAAAATTTCATAGTGACTAAAAAGGCAGTTTGGTACTCCAGCGTTCCCCGCCTGGCACGGAAGCTGCTCTGTGGGGAATACAGCTTCTGTCATGTGCCCAGCACTCAGCCTGGGCATTGCTCGTTGGACTCTGACTTTTAAACAGTCCTCCCCTTAAGGATGGGAGAGCTCTATTCTGGTGCCATCATCTCATCTTCCCTGAGCTTCTAGGAGCGAAAACTCCCATCTAAAAACACACAGGAGGCTGGGTGTGGTGGCTCACACCTGTAATCCCAGAACTTTGGGAGACCAACGCAGGCAGATCACCTGAGGTCAGGAGTTTGAGACCAGCCTGGCCAACATTGGTGAAACCCCGTCTCTACTAAAAAAACAAAAATTAGCCGAGAATGATAGCAGGCGCCTGTAATCCCAGCTACTCAGGAGGCTGAGGCAGGAGAATTGCTTGAATCCAGGAGGTGGAGGCTGCAGGAGCTCAGGTCGCACAACTGCACTCCAGCCTGGATGACAAGAGTGAAATTCCGCCTAAAAAAAAAAAACTGAAACAACAACAACAACAACAAAAGCACAGTAAGCCGGGTGTAGTGGCTCACACATGTAATCCCAGAACTTTGGGAGGCTGAGGCTGGCAGATCACTTGAGCTCAGGAGTTCAAGACCAGCCTGGGCAATATAGTGAGACCCTACCTCTATTTAAAAAAATTTTTTAAAAACGGCCGGGTGCAGTGGCTCACGCCTGTAACCCCAGCACCTTGGAAGGCCGAGATGGGTGGATCGCCTAAGGTCAGTTGTTGAAGACCAGCCTGGCTAACATGGTGAAACCCTGTTTCTACAACAAATACAAAAAATTAGCTGGGCATGGTGGCGCCCACCTGTCATCCCAGCTACTCAGGAGGCTGAGGCAGGAGAATCGCTTGAACCTGGGATGCAGAGGTTGCAGTGAGCTGAGATCGCGCTATTGCACTCCAGCTTGGGCAACAAGAGTGAAACTCTGTCTCAAAAAAAAAAATAAATAAATAAAAACCCACACACAGTGTTGGTGACACAGTCCCTTTAGCAGTGGCATGCCATTTCCTTCCATGACAGAGCACCCTCTGTGATCACACGTGCCCAGTCACCTGGTCACCAGCCTCAGTCTCAGTTTCCCATTCACAGAACACTGAGGTTTAAAAAAAAAAAATTCCCCTAGTTTGTGCCTTTCTCTGTCTAAATGAAAGAACTCAAGCAAAATCTGACAAAAGGCATGTTCCTATGAAGTAATAATTACACTGAGTATCACTTAGATGTAAAGAGAAAGATGTCTCGGTGTCAGTGTTTTTAACTTTCAGATAATTAGTAAACATAAATTGGGTTAGGGGCATTCTCTTCCAAGAGATAACTAGGATGTGTATTTGGTGCTATCCTCTCTAAAGCTGACAGTCCTCCTAGCACTTTGTTGAGTGATGTTGTATTTAAATTCACACTTTCTGGCCAGGCATGGTGGCTCATGCCTGTAATCCCAGCACTTTGGGAGGCGTAGGCAGGTGGATCACCTGAGGTCTGGAGTTCGAGACCAGCCTGACCAACATGGAGAAACCCTGTCTACTAAAAATACAAAATTAGCTGGGCGGGGTGGCACATGCCTGTAAACCCAGGTACTCGGGAGGCTGAGGCAGGAGAATTGCTTGAACCCGGGAGGTGGAGGTTGCAGTGAGCCAAGATCGCGCCATTGCACTCCAGCCTGGGCAACAAGAGTGAAACTCCATCTCAAAAAATAAAATAAAATAAAATAATAAAACAAGTTCACACTTTCTGACCTTTAGACCCTTAACTGTGCAAAGTGTAGTCTTTCTCCAACAGTGTTAGCATCAGCTGGGAATTGACAAAGATGTAGAATCTCAGGTCCTACTCATCAGAATCTGCATTTTAAACAAGATCTCCAGGCAATCCAAATACAGGCTATATTCGAGAAGTCCTGCTTTAAAGCAGCAAGCAGGTTCAAGAGTACATGGGCCTGCATTCATAAACACAGTCGATTAGTAGGATGCATACTTGATTTGCTTCTGCAGATCTATTTTGATGATATGCTTTTTTTCTCTGAACCCTTAGCCTGGCATGAGCCACCACGTCTGCAGTCGCAGCAGTCTGGGAGGCAAGGTAGGAGGACTGCTTGAGGCCACGAGTTCAAGACTAACCTTGGTTAACATATTGAGATGCCTTCTCAATAAAAAGAAAAAAATGTGACTGGCACAGTGGCTCACGCCTGTAATCCCAGCACATTTGTAGCCAAAAAACAAGAAGTGAGTAATACAATCTCAAAAGAGGAAAGGAAATGAATGTGTTCCAAGATTTAGAACTCAACTTCAGAACTATACTCACTGTCCGGCAAATCACTTAAGAATGTATTTGACCTTAAAAAAAAAATACAAATAACTGGTACAAGTTGATCACAGAGACGTTCTCCAAGACCCTATCAAGGGGCCCGATACCCCTTGCAGGCCATTTGGGTACCGTTCACTACATAGTTCCTGGAAAGCGCGCGCCTTCTCTACACCTGCGGCACAACAGGACAGCCGCAAGAATTTGAAAGAAAGGCTGCGTTAAGAGGGCATTTAATTGACCTATGTCCTTTGCCCTACCTCATTTCAGCAAGAGGACAAGGACAGCAGGGGGCAGCAAGCAGCACAGAGCTATACAGGGTTAGGACATGACCCACACATCTTGGCTAAGACATTTTTCTGGATGAGACCAATGTTCCTCACAGACAGATCAATGTCTTACTAAATAATCTGTAGATAGCACATAACATTGCAATTCTGCTTATCATATTGTGAAACAAAATAGATAAAATCAAATGTTCTTTTCCCAAGCATTTCCCAAAAATAAATTTCCTTTAAAAAAAATTTTTTTTTTTAAGGAATGTCTTGGTCAGGTGCAGTGGCTCATGCCTGTAATCCCAGCACTTTGGGAGGCCAAGGTGGGCAGATCAAGAGGTCAAGAGATGGAGACCATCCTGTCCAACATGGTGAAACCCCACCTCTATTAAAAATACAAAAATTAGCTGGGCATGGTGGCGGGTGCCTGTAATCCCAGCTACTCGGGAGGCTGAGGCAGGAGAACTGCTTGAACCCAGGAGGAGGAGATTGCAGTGAGCCAAGATCATGCCACTGCACTCCAGGCCTGGCAACAGAGCAAGATTCCGTCTCAAGAAAAAAAAAAAAAAGAAAGAAATTTCTTGCTACACTAACAAGAATGAAATGAAGACTTTCTAAATTTTATCTTTAACACAAGACATTTAAAAAATCCCAAATAGACCCGGTGAGGTGGCTTACGCCTGTAATCCCAGCACTTTGGGAGGCTGAGGGCACTCCAACCTGAGAGACAAGAGTGAGACTCTGTCTCAAAAAAAAAAAAAATGAAAAAGAAAGAAAAAGAAAAGAGATTAAGTCTATTAAGTTAAACTATACACACACACACATATATAAGTATATCAGAAAGGCCGTGAGTGACTGGCAAAATGTAAAACAAATAGTGAAAAGAATATCTGGGATTTTCTTTCTTTCTTTTTTTTCTTTGAGACAGTGTCTTGCTCTGTCCACCCAGGTTGGAGTGCAGTGGTGTGATCTTTGGCTCACTGCAAGCTCCGCCTCCTGGGTTCATGCCATTCTCCTGCCTCAGCCTCCGATGCATACGGGACTACAGGTGCCTGCCACCATGCCTGACATAATTTTTTTTTATTTTTAGTAGAGATGGGATTTCTCTGTGTCAGCCAGGATGGTCTCGACTCCTGACCTTGTGATCCACACCGCGCCTTGGCTCCCAAAGTGCTGGGATTACAGGCGTGAGCCACTGCGCCTGGCGCTCCTTTTTTTTTTTTTTTTTTTTTTTTTTTTTTAATATTTTACTTATTTACAAAGAAGAACTTTTTTTTTTTTTTGAGACGGAGTTCTGCTCTGTCTCCCAGGCTGGAATGCAGTGGCATGATTTCAGCTCTCTGCAACCTCTGCCTCCCAGGTTCAAGCAATTCTCGTGCCTCAGGCCTCCTGAGTAGCTGGATTACAGGCACCCACTACCATTCCTGCTAATGTTTTTTGTTTGTTTTCTTTTTTTTTTTTTTTTTTGTATTTCTAGTAGAGAGGGTTTCATCATGGTTGGCCAGTCTGGTCTCAAACCTCACTTGACCTCAGCTGATCTGATCCACCCA